TTTTTTTTTTTTTTTTTTTTTTTTTTTTTTTTTTTTTTGCAAGAACCCATTTACAACCAATTTCCTTAAGTTGTACCAAATTCCAAGTTTGATTTATCTCCAATGATGCTATCTCCTGATTCACAGCCTCTTGCTAGTGCAGTCTATCCGGGTTCTGGATAGCATCTTTGTAGTTGTTGGGAACTCCATCAATCAAAAGAAAAGCATATGCTATCGTATCATCAAACCTTGCAGGTTTTCGAATTTTCCTTCGTGGTCTATTCCTAGCGATGGACTCAAGTTCCTCTACTCTTTCATTTACAAGGCTTTGCTCCTTCTATTCTAAGACATTAGAGTTATTATCTACCTGATCAATAGATTCTTTAGTAGGAGCAACCATATCAGGAGAGAACACCACCTTCTCCACCTGCTTCAATGCCTCGTCATTATTTTCAATTTTCTGCAAAAACGTTCGGACTCATCGACTGTCACATCTCGACTATCAACAATCTTACTTGTTTTTGGACACCATAACCTATAGCCCTTTACGCCTTTGCTAAAGCCCATAAACTTGTCTTTTTTTGCTCTAGGATCCAGCTTTGAGTCTGTCACATGAGAATAAGCAAGACACCCAAACACATGCAGTTTATCATAATCACTAACAGGAGTATCTGACCATACCTCAAGCGGAGTTTTCCCACCATTTCTAGAAACAGGTAAACGATTCACCAAGTGAACTAAATAACTGATAGCCTCAGCCCAAAATGCCTTACTCAATCTTGTTTGAGACAATATGCATCGAACCTTCTCTATTAATGTCTGGTTCATTCTCTCAGCAACTCCATTTTGTTGTGGCTTACCAGGAACAGTGAAGTGTCAAACGATCCCTTCATCTCGGCATACTTCAAGGAATAGATCATAAGTATATTCTCCACCGTTGTCTGATCTCAGTTTTTTGGTTTTCCTGTCCGTCTGATTCTCTACCGTTTTCTTCCACTCTAGGAAGATTTGGAGAACCTCGTTTTTGTGGTTTATGGGATACATCCAAACTCTCCTCGAGTAGTCATCAATAAAGGTGACAAACCACCTCTTTCCTCCCAATGAGACATTCTTCGTGGGACCCCATACATCAATGTGAACATAATCTAAAATGCCCTTTATTTGGTGTATAACTATACCAAACTTCGCATTTTTTTGTTTACCAAATATATAATGTTCACAGAAATCAATTTTACCAATTGTGGCACCCTTAAGGGACTCCTTGGTTCACCAATGTCTGAAGCGCCTTCTCACCAGCATGCCCAAGTCTCATGTGCCATAATTTCGATATGTCTTGTTCTTTCGAACTTGCCACAACAGCATGCCCAATTATTGTGGTTCCGTTGAGGTAGTATATGCTACCTCTTCTAGTTCCTTTAATTGCCACCAAAGCTCTACGAGCTACTTTCAAATTCCCTCCTTCCAAAATGATGCGATAACCACTCACATCCAAAACGCCAAGATTTTTCTTCAAGTCAGGGACATACCTCACATCATTGAGTTTTCGTATAACCCCATCAAACATCTTGATATGTACTGAGCCAATTTCCATCATCTTCCAAGTACTATCATTGTCCACATAGACAACTCCACCATTGAACTTTTTGAAGTACAAAAACATCTCTCTGTTGGGACACATATGATAGGAGAACCCAAAATCAAGAATCCATTCACTGGTTTGGCTGATTGATAAAGAGATCGTCAAGGCATTATCTGTATAAGTATCGTCATCTCTAACCACATTGGACTTCGACCCCTTTTCTTTTAAGATCGGGCAATCGTTCTTCCAATGGCTTTTCTGTCGACAATATGCACACTCATTTTTATCAAGTTTTCTCCAATTATCAGATCTACCTCTCGACTTTGATCGGGACTTTCCACGTTCGCTCTTTTTCCAAGTAGAAGTCCTTCCACGAGTAGTGAGAACATTTGTGCTAGAGTCTTGATATGCCTCCTTTTCCTTCTTTCGCACCTCATTATTCATTAAGGCATTTGAAACATCTTCAAAAACAAGATCAGTGAGTCCATGTAGTAGGGTGGTTACTAAAAACTAGTAGGATTCTGGCAAAGAATTCAATAGCAACAACGCCTTGTCTTCGTCATTAATTGTAACATCTAGATTGAGCAAATCAGTGATGATTTTGTTAAAATCATCCAAATGCTCAGCTATTGAGATACTTTTCTTGTAGTCAAAACGGAAGAGTTTCTTCTTCAAATAGAGTTTATTTTCCACACTCTTCTTCATATATTTCGCCTCAAGCTTGTCCCATAGTTCTTTCGCCATCGTAACCTTCATAAATGGATATTTCTGATCCTTGCCAAGACAGGATCGAATAATTTCACAAGCTTGTCGATTTAATTTTGTCCTTTTGGCGTCTGTCATGTCTTCAGGCATCTCCTCTTGGAGAGAAGCATCAAGATCTTGCATGACCAACAAATCGCTAACTTCGCCTCGCCAAACACCAAAATTATTGGTTCCATCAAATTTCTCTACTTCGAGATTAGAACTTAACAATCTCGATCCACGTCCTAATTTAATTCCAGATGATTCTGCCATTTGAAATAATTAATCTAGATGTAACTAAAAAACACAATTCTTGAAAATTGATTTTTAGGAAAATAAGCACGATTGTGAGCATGTCTAGTGGTCGATGAGGCCAAAACTCTCACAATACCCCAAATACCACAATCAGGCTCTGATACCACTTGTTGTGCGCCAAAAGCGGAACAAATGTACTCACAACACCAATGAACGAAATTATACAAAGAGACACCAAGATATTTACGTGGTTCGGAGAGAAGAAGTTTTCCTACATCCACGGGTAGCAACCAATCACTAATAAACAAAGTGTTACAAGTGAATACCTCACTATCACACTACAAAGACTCTCACCAATATGCCACTCAAGAAATACAATGTGATACACAAAACTTGATAAGTTCAGCAGCAGATTGTTAGAGTAGAGAACATAAACAATTGGATCTCAAGTGTTGTTTTATTAATTCTAAGCGTGACATTATATAGCCTTTACAATCATGGTTGTACCTAAAAATGTTAGCAGAAAGAAACTTAAAGTCCCAAAGAATAGGACTAATCGAATAGGACCTTATGACAATTTACAACAATCCCCCCTTACCACTTCATCATCGCACATTCCTCGATCCAGTTCATCCCCGTGTGATATTTGTTCTGACCTTGTGGATGAGTCTGTGCAGGTTGATACTTCTCTTGCAGGTTCCACTTTGCCACCCTCGACTTCTAATTCAACCTCTATTGAACCTACTGTTGATTCCTCTTCTTTGGGCACTCATCCTATGATCACACGAGCCAAAGCTGGTATATTCAAGACTCGTCATCCAGCAAATCTTGGTATTTTGGGCTCATCTAGACTTCCTTCTGCTCTTCTTGCATCCACTGAGCCAAAAGGATTCAAATCTGTGGCTAAGAATGCTGCTTGGGTTGCTGCCATGGATGAAGAAATTCGAGCGTTACAACAAAATGATACTTGGACTTGGTTCCTCGCCCTGCCAACACCAACATCGTGGGCTTTAAATGGGCGTTTCGTATTAAATATTTGCCTGATGGATCCGTCGAGCGTTTCAAGGCTCGTCTTGTTGCCAAAGGTTATACTCAGGTTTCTGGTCTTGACTAGGCTGACACTTTCAGTCTGGTTGTCAAAGCTACCACTGTCTGTGTTGTGCTTTCTATTGCAGTCACAAACAAATGGCCTCTTCGACAACTTGATGTCAAGAATGCCTTTCTCAATGGAACTTTTATTAAACGTGTTCATATGGAACAACCTCCTGGGTTTATTGATCCTCGATTTCCCACTCATGCTTGTCTATTAAAGAAAGCCCTCTATGGCTTAAAGCAAGCTCCTCGCGCCCTGGTTTCAGCGTTTTAGCTCATTTCTTCTCACACTTGGGTTTTCTTGCAGTCGCGCTGACACGTCCCTTTTTGTCTTTCGTCAGCAATATAACCTTATCTATTTTCTTCTTTATGTTGATGACATTATTGTTATTGGCAACAACTCATCTCTTATTGACAGCTATACTCGCAAGCTTCATTCTGAGTTTGCTACCAAAGATTTGGGTTCTCTCAGTTACTTTCTTGGTCTCGAAGCTTCACCCACTCCTGATGGTCTCTTTATTAGTCAGTTAAAATATGCTCGAGATATTCTTACTCGTGCTTAGTTGCTCGATAGCAAACCAGTCCACACTTCCATGGTTGTTTCTCAACACCTGACTGCTGATGGTTCTCCTTTTTCTGATCGTACTCTCTATAGATCTCTTGTTGGCGCCCTTCAGTACTTGATTATTACGCGTCCAGATATGTCTATGCTGTCAATTCTTGCATTCCCCTACTGCAGTTCACTTTCTTGCTGACAAACGTATTCTTCGCTATGTCAAAGGAACACTCCACTTTGGTCTTACCTTTCGTCCATCCACTTTTCCTAGTACGCTAGTCGCTTATTCGGATGCTGACTGGGCTGGTTGTCCCGATACTCGTCGTTCTACATTCGGCTATTCTATTTATCTTGGTAACAATCTCGTTTCTTGGAGTGCCAAAAAGCAACCTACTGTCTCACGCTCCAGCTGTGAATCTGAGTATCATGCTCTTGCCACACTTCTGTTGAACTTCTTTGGGTTACGCATCTTTTGCATGACCTTAAGGTCCCTATTTCACAGCAGCCCTTACTCTTATGTGACAACAAAATTGCTATTTTGTTGAGCTCTAATCCCGTTTCTCACAAGCGGGCTAAACATGTTGAACTAGATTATCATTTCTTTTAAGAACTTGTTATCGCTGGCAAACTTTGCATACAATATGTACCATTTCTCATCTCCAAGTTGCTTACATCTTCACAAAAAGTATTTCTTGACCTCTCTTTGATTTTTTCAGATCCAAGCTTCACGTTCGTTCAAATCCGACGCTTAGCTTGCGGGGAGGTGTTAAGGATAGTTGACCGTTCATTATAAAACAAATATCTAGATATTTTCCTTACATTACGGTTTACCATATTTTCCCTTTTATTAAAGGCAAATATATTGTATTCATTTATTATTATTTCCTTTTGTTGTTATTTCCATATTATTTGTAATTTACCATATTTCTCTATTTGGTAAATTATTATAAATAAGAGAACTCTCACCACCATTTAGGTGTGGTGAATTCAGCAAACATTTACAAGAATAATCTTTTTTATCTTTGAAAGATAAGAGAGGAATGCGCAATTTGTCTTTATTGTAAGATTTGGTTGTATCAATTTGAGCGGCGTTTAACTACAACTATAAATATCAAACTCTAAAGTATTTATAAGCAAAGTATATTGGTTAAAACTATCTCTCAAAAGTGTTCCAAATGAGCAATGAAAAATGGTTGCCTTTAGATCTAATTAATTAAGAATGTCAATTACAGAAGAGTGGAAGAGGCTGGAAGGTCTGTAGTGAAACAACATAACAGGAGGAGTGGAAATTCTCTCATTTACAAGTGTGTGGTGAACGATCTGATCGATATGATCAACAACCATCCAGGTCCTCGATTTTATATTATCGTGATAGAAGCCTTTAAATAACTATGGTATTCCTTAGTCATATATTGCAAAGGTGCTGCACTTTGGGCTTCACCATAGAGGGCCCTTTCTCTTCTTCTTTGAAGACATCCTCAAGGATTTCAATAAGCATTAGATTGCTCCCTCCGTTTACAATAAGCCCTCTCTCGCTACATAAAGGGGGCTCCATCTTTTTGCTATGAAAATGGCATAGACTATAATAAAATAATCACATAA